GCTTAGAAGATAAGATAGTTGTGAACCCGAGAAACAAAATTTTTCTTCATCGAAATTTTCTATGCTTCTCGCATAGTGCTTATCTTAATATATAAAAATCCCGAGACACTGTGTTCGTTTACGCTAATCTCCGAAACCGCTTAACCGATTTCAATGAAATTTCGTGGGTGCGTATTGTTGGTTCCAACTTAAAAGATAAGATAGTTGTGAAAAGATGGGATAGTTTTGAATTTCTTTTCATCGCAATTTTTTCTATGCTCCTCTCAACATGCTTATCTCAATATATAAAATTCCCGTATCGCTGTGTTCGTTTACGCTAATCTCCGAAACCGCTTAACTGATTTCAATGAAATAGTGTGCGTCGGTATTGTTGGTTCCAACTTAAAAGGTAGGACATTTTTTAATCCGAAAAAAAATATTTTTTTTTTCATCGAAATTTTGACGTAGAATACGTCTTACGTTTCGATATGGGGGCTATGGTGCAATGTTGTAGTTGTAATTTTTAGAGTTTCACGAAAACGCTTATTGCACGAGAACTGATGAAGCGATTTCAAAGAAAAGTGTGGCGTTTCAAAAATAAAATTCCAAACCTAAGGACAGATTCATTTTTGTAAGTAACCAATTCGGTTTATGTCGTAAAAAGAACGGTAAACATTGGCTTATTTTGGGGTCAATTTTGAGTCTTTAAAGTGCTCCAGCAGCTTATGATTTGCAGATATAACTTTCATATACTAGATATATATATAACTAGGATATAGATTCTTTGGAGCGATGATAATATTATCGTGTACAGATTTTATATGAATTCAACAAATATTGAGCATTATAAGGCAAAAAATTGTTGAAAAAATTCGCAAATTTTTTTTATTTGCAAAATGCTCTAAAGATTTTGTTTTTGTTTTCTTTAAATAAAAATTCAAGAGTTTTCCTTTCGTTTGGCATATGGGAAGTTTTGGTTGATATCTTCTAAGTATGTTTATTTGATTCAAATATATGGGCATAAATGATTTCAAATCACTTCGTCATCTTTTGCAAACACGTGCATGCTTTGGAAGTGAGGGAAGGAGACAAAAAATATGTATATGTGCGTAAGTACATATGTATTTCGGCTTTTGATAAACTGATGGCGCAATATTTATAACCTAATCGCTGCGTATGTACATATGTAAATACATACATACTAGGGATGTTAATTTTTCAGCTTTTTCCGTTCCCGGGATTTTCGAGACGTCGTTATCACAATCCGGGGATCCCGGGATTAGCCCCGGGATTTAGATATTCATTACTTTTCACCAACTTAAATCGAAAATATTGCTTCTATATTGTTTGAAAAGCTCTCCTACGATAAAATAAATAGTAAATAAATGGGTTCGAAACCTACTTTTTATTTAAAGTGGCGTTTTTATTTTTTCTTTCTGACATCAGGATTTATTTTAAAGGACTTGGTAATTTCAAATATATGATTAGTTCCAAAAATTATTTAAAAAAATCAATGGAATGTAGAATAAAAATATGGGTACCAAATGCAAGAGGAAATATCTTTTGAATTAAAAAAAATAAAAATTTTTTGGATATGTAATTATTTAAGCTGATAAAGTTAGAAGGACGAAATACGAGGATTTTATCGAGTTTATATAAGTCATTAACATATAATTTTTTCGAAAACAAATATTGCGAAATTTCAAGGATAAAATTTTAAAGACATTTTAATTACTATCCAGTCCTTTTGCACCAAAAACTTTAATCTGTTTAAAATCTACAGGATCTCTTCTTTAATT